TTCTACTGGACTGACACATTTACTGTTAGCCAGCTAACGCTAGCTTCAGCCTGAAGGCTGCAGTTTGTACAGTTTGTCCCAACCAGGCATCTGTAGTTCACATCATCACTAGCAAACTGGATGTGATGGGAGGGGCAAACAGTGGTTAGGAGCAGCTGATGGTGTCAGTTTGTTTGGAGTCTCACTAGACCCTCTAGGCTGAAGAGACATGAGATAGAGGAGCTATAACTACCAAATGCTTTAGAAAAGTGTATGCATTAAATAATGATTTAAATCTAATTTAACAGTAAACTAACAGATGCTGAGAGACTGTAAGGAGAGCTCACCTCTCAGCAGTGGGAAGGCACAGTCCTGCATCTCCATGACGACTCCATCCAGCACTGTCAGCATTGGGGTGATGTCCAGCAGGATCAAGATGATTGGCTGATGAGAAGACAGAACGAGACACATCAGCAGCAAAACAATTAAACCATGTTCAACTGCATTATCCAAATGCCAGCACCTGTTATGTTTAATGTTTACTGGTGAGGAGTCTTACACGAACTAACGTGACAGCTCACAGGTGATGAAGGCTGAAACTGAAAGACATGCAGCGCGTATCGATACCTGACTCTGTAGGTGAAGAACAGCTCCTGGTAAATACAGGTATATTTATGATTGTCTTTTTCTTCTGTGTAAAGCCTTACAACAATGAGTTTGCTTTTCATTTCTCACCCCGTCACTGATCAGGACTCAATAAAGTGAAGGCAATTAAAACATGTTGTTTATCAAGATGAGTCCATTATATAAGAGTTAGGCCCCACACAGCTGGTTGTGCAGTGGTCGGCCTCTGTGGAAGGGGGCTCCGCTGTGTGCTAAGTGTTACCTGGTCCTTCCCGAACACATCTCCCTTGGCGATGTTGTACAGCAGGGAGTAGGCGATCTGCCCAGCAGCGCCGGTCACCACAACACGGATCGGTTCAGCCTGCAGGGAAACAAACAGCTCGGTTCATGTGTCATCGACCCGCAGTAGATAAAATACCAGACGGGGGATGTGGAACAGGAGTAACCCGCGTTGTTGATCCGAACTGGTTGGCTTACCTTTTCACATAATAAAGACCATATTGAACCGTCGGGTCCTCACAGCAAAGTTGCATATTCCAACTACTTGTAACCGGAATTATTGAATTTCCCGGTTTCCGAACCGGATTCTAAACGGATGAACCTCCTGATGTGATTGGTTTCTGAATAAACGAACAGGCCTGTGATGTGACTTGACGTTGACATCAGGACATAACCCGCCCTTGCTAAAGCGGAGGCAGCTGTTTGAACTTAATGGACAAGGGAGAGTTTAACGAGCAGCGGTTTACATCTGCGCTCTCTGCTGCCGATGCTAACGCTAACGCTAACTCTCCGGGTTTTCAGTCATTCATCACGTCTTATTTGGGTTTTGTAACTGCGCAACAAACTGCGTATAACAGCTCTGCCTTGGCTGCTTAAACACCAATTCGGCAGACAAAAAAACGCTTAATCGATACGGTTAAAGTTATATTAGCACAAAGTGAAATTAAATGACGACGCTTCCGCTCTGTTGTCAATGTCAACTGTACCTGTGCATCAGTTAGCATACACCGTTACAAACAACTTCAAAAACATATTTTCACTATATCGCAGAGAAACAACAGGTTATATATTTACATGTTCAGTACCGAGCAAAAAGCGATTAACATTACCATTTTTCTAGCGAATGAAGATGCTTCGGCTCTGCAGCGTCTAAATCCCCTGGCTCAGTAAAGGACTAGACGGAGTGGGTCACCTCTATCGCTGTGTTGTAAAGTCGGGCGGTGAAAATGCTGGTTTCACATGCACTATGGGAGTTGTAGTCATTTTAAGCTACAAAGGCAACTATTTGAGTCCGACTAACTCTACAAAAGAAACATCCTCTCCCACAATGCATCCCTCTGATCAAACCACGCCCACCGAGAGAGTAGTTTCTGAAAATGCCGCTCTCTGAAAACAAAAGGCGGCACCCTGTGGCCATTGGCAGAACTGCACCAATTGTCTTGTACAGGGATCCACTGCTTTGTCCATCCCTAACCCTAACGAGGTTCGCGGGGGGCTGGAGCCAATCCTAGCTGAAATTGTGCCTGAGGCGGGGTCCACCCTGACAGCGTTAAGCACCGCTCCGCTGTGCCGCCCCACTGCTGTGTCTGATTTCATGATTTGTAAAGCACTTTTAAAGCTATTCATCACACAGAAGAAGGTCACTGTTATGTTTGATTCCCCTCTTAAGTGATCTAGGAATCCCTTAGGACTTTAGGAGAAACTAATCTGAAAAACAAAACAAACCAATAAAACAATGATGAGACACTGGGCCCTTGGGCACAGACCTTGAAGAGAAGGACCTCAGGATAAAAGTGAAAGTGTGAGGAGAGAGAAGAGCGCGGGTCGTATTCAACCAGATGAGCTTTTCAATTTCGGCCTATCAAGGACACCGGCGGCCATGTTGAATCTGTGTTCGCGCCCTGCAGGCGTGTGCTGCTGCCAGCCAGGCAGGAACTGACCGCGGTGCTGATCATCTGCGGGTGCGCAGCTGCATCAAGGCAGCAAACACACGGTAGAGGGCCGGAAGCACGGTAACTTAGCCTTCAAAATAAAAGTACAAAAAAATGTTGAGGAAGCACAACAAATTACGTTTCTTTTTTTCAGCCATATTAACACAGGTTCTTTGCTTTTCCTCACACACACACACACACACACACACACACACACACACACACACACACACTTGGACATAACCCTCAGTGCAACACCTGTAAATATACCTCATACACATTATACAGAGTCATAGAGGTTTCTAGTTTTAAGTACTTTGTTTTTATTCCTATTTCTCTCATTTCAATGAACATCGATCTTTATTTAAAAACAATGTTCTATATTGTTTTTGCATATTCATTCTTTGGAACAATGTATTACGTATTTCTCATATTTGCCACTAAAACGTTCTTTCAAACATGATGATGTCACGTCAATATAACTTAAAACCATAGGGTGAGAGCAGTAACGTCATAGAGTGGCTCCTGGAGGCAGACGATGTCACATTAAACCCCCCATCCTCTCATTTCAGTTTCTGATGATTTCTTTAATCGACCCTAAAAGCTTTTGGGGCTTTTAGTTTTTCGGTTCGGGCCGGATGCCGTCTCGTTTCCGCTGCCTGGCTTTACTAAGGCACCAAGTCTTTGCCAAAGCTGCTATGAAGAACTGATCCAATGAATTAATGATGACGCGGTCAGAAAGACGCGCAACCTGGTGATTCCTTCGCTGACAACGCGGTGGAGTCGTGTTTCCATGTTCACACCTGAACTCTAACGGAAAAGGCCCGGATGAAGGCACGGCTCTGTTTCCTCTCCACGTTAGCCATCCGCCCACCACAGCAGCTTGAGTTAACGTCGATGGGTTAAAGAGCTAACGCTGATATTCTTTCACTAATTTTGAGGGAAACAATAATGCTGCGTTCAAGGACGCGCGGTCAGCTCCGTGCGCGCCGTGGTCAGGCAAACCGACACTGTGCTGCTTTCAACTTACCTGCGAGTAAAACGCCCGCACCACCACGTACATGGAGGTCAGCAGCGTCAACATGGTCCCGCCGGTGTTTGGGTGTCGTTCACCGACTTGAAGCAGAAACGGCGGCTCGATCCTACACGAAGACAGAGAAAGAGGGGGAGACAGTTGGACACCTAGAGAGAAAAGACAGGAAGACGGGCAGGTGTGACAGGACAGTGCTGCAGTCCCACTAGCAGGCTTCTGGCCCGGGACTTACACATGCACCCTTTGCCTCTACTTACATACAAACACACAGACCGCTGCAGTCACACTAGTCCCTTAATAGGATTTTGAGGACACAAATAGCCGCAGGCCGGTTTGCTAAAGCTGTCCGTGTCTCAGCACAGGGGTAAATCACTGGAGATGATGGAAGCTGGAAACTGGGGAGTTCTGTATGTGAGATGTCGCTGCAGGGGGTTGGTCAAACAAAACGGATGCTTTAGGGTGACAGGAGGACAGCTGCAGGATGTGGAGCAGCAATACTGCAGTAATACAGTAATACTGCAGTATTGTGGCAGAGGCGCACACACACACACACACACACACACACACACCAGCAATGCTGGACAGTAACTAAGTACTTGAGTAATTTAATGTCACTTTTAGTTACAATTCAAAAGGAAACCTTGTACTTTTGACTTCACTGCATTTATCTGACAGCTGTACTGGTGCCGTATAGATGCACATTCTTAATTCAAAATATATTTCATGAACTAGTATAAAAACAATAGAAATCATCTTGTACACCTTTATGTTATGAGCGGTCTGAGCACCATGACCACAGACCTGACCTGAGCCTCACGCCTGCTGCCAGCAGAGGCTGCTGGAGGACAGAGAGGAGGCTGCTCTGCACCGTCTGAGGCCAGACGCTTACACTCGGCAGGACGAAGGTCCTCAGGCTGATTTGTACATTTTAATGTCATTTCTGATGCACAACTGGTTTTAGCTTTAGCCTCGACAAACACACAAACATCTTACAATTAACAGAAAGACAGAAAGTTCTTGATTGTGTCTCAAATATATATTCTGTTTGGTTTTAGGTACTTTGGAATTTGTTTCTTGATACTGTATGTGTGTGGTGTTTGTTCCTATGGTGTTTTGTTGCTGCTGGAACATTGTGGGATCAATAAAGTCCTCCCCTACCCTAAGACCAAGCGGCACCTCTGAATGTCTCAGACTGGTCTGGACCAAACACACGGGCACCAGTGGCAGCATCGACTGAACATCATGAACTTTGCTAAGCTTTTTCTGTAGATCACAGCAGAGGAAGAACAACTACTATGACCTTCAACTGTCTGTGTTGGGCTGTTGAGACAGCACAGCTGGTCTCACATGGAATCAGAGCTGTGAACCAGTGATGCTCCAACTTCACAGCTTTAACTTCTCAGCACACTGAGGAACGACTTAAACGTCCTGTGAACGGGCCTGTGAGTAAAAACAATGCCAGTGTTGATGAGGTACAGGGACGTGCAGCTTGTAGCCATGACCCTGCCTGAACCCTTGAGGCCCGGGCGGTAACTCCTGTGGCTATGAGGGGAAGTTTGGCGTTCCTTCACGCAGCCATCACTGGCACACACGATGCATGGTTAGGCAGCGCGAGTGATCTGCACAGCAGGTCCTAACCCGTCAAGTAACAGCCATTCAGTCATTCGGTCAATTAGCTCACGGACTGTGGACTGTGAGAATCAAACACACACTACAGGCTGATCTTGCAAATTGCGGTTGTAATTATGTGTGGAGGTAGAATCCAAGGAGCCAGAGAACCAGTTTTTCATGTTGTGTCAGTCTGTGTCCGCGAGGCTGAGGGCCTAGAGTGATTCTCCACCCAAACTTGTCTCGTCACTAACAAAGGCTCACACCAGCATAATGGGAAGGTGAATGTAGAAACGTCAAACCCCCTCCCAGTCATGTCATAGCTGTCGTTACAGCGGATGTGGATCACAGCATTAATTAACAAAGGTAAAGAAACATTCCTGTGAATAATCAATATCTTTGTAAAAGTGATACCAAACCCGTGGAGATAAATACTTTGTTATAGGACACAAAAGAAGGCAAACAGAAAATGAACACTATGCAGCAAAATGCTTAAAATTCCACTTAGACCCCAGAACATTCTGCCCAGAACAGCTAAATCTCTCTTTCAGTCCGCATGCACAACCACGTGGCGCTCACAATCAGCCTTGTCACCATTTGGCATCCAGTCTTCTCCATAACCTGGCTCCAGTGTAGAAACCATGCAGATAGTTTTGTTTAATTTGCTGAACTCTTCTTTCTATTTTATTTTATTCTGTTTTTGGTGAACTGACCCTTTAAAGGTGTTATTAGGTGTTTTGATGATGGTGGTGGAGACGCCCCACATCTCCCACAGCTGTTCAACTGGGCTGAGACCTGGTGACCGTGGAGGCCACATCGTGGTCATCCTCATCAGACCAGGTTCAAACATGTTCACCCACGTGTATCATCCGCTCAGTTCTGTTTGTGTCCACTCACATCTCGTCGTGACTCAGCACTGATGAAGTCAACGCTGTTCGTTTATGGAAAATAAGCAGACAGACTCTCTGAATGCTGTTTGGGGGTGTTAACGTTGAAACGTGATGCCCTCTTCTGGTTCAGTACATTCACCACTGACACGCAGGGACTCTAGAGACGTCCACAGTCCACAGTCTGCAGTAACGACACCAGACTGTATCCATCAGCGCACCGAGGTGCGCCTCGCTACGCCCACTGAGGTTCAACTGAAGTTCAACTGAACCAATTATATTTTTACATCGAGAGCAGCTCGCAGTTCTTTTACAAACAAAACATTCCAAACTGAGCCAAGTCTAAAGGCTTGTTGGAAATATTAATCATCACCTGGGATAAATGAGAACCTACTTCAGCCCTGTCTCCGGTTTGACAGGTGACACGTAAACAAAGCGCCACAGCGCGGAGCTGGCATGTCGGGCTGGCTGTGATGGAGACATGGCCGAGCCTGTTTACCACAGCTCTCATTACTCTGTATTGTCTGCCCTCCCTGCCCTCCGCTTTAGCTGTCAGTCACCGGCAGACGCCCGAGGAAGGGCATGGCCGCGGCACGGAGCCGCTCACGCTGCCAAACGCACACAGGCAGGTAGAGGAGTTTATGAAGGCGTCCACCTCTGACAGACACTTTCTGATGAGGATAAGTGGCTCAGAAACACTTCTCACAGAAAACATGACGACCAAACTCTGCCAAAATGTGGAAGAGGGAATTCAGAATTAGTTTTGCAGCTGAT